AAAAAAAAAAAAATCAATGAAAGACCTACATGTATCAGTAACTGTTTACTTTTGAGTAAAAGTTATAATATGTAACACTGAAAATAGCATTAAAAATGCTTTGTTAATAGATGTGATCATTTGAACAGTGACTTTATTTACATTTTTCCAGCAGCCAATAACACGTTGCCTTCTCCAGGTAAATAAGCTTATCATTCAACACATCAAAATTATACAGTGTTCTTTTAAGTGAGGTCTATATTAATGTAATTAGTGAAGTCAATATTCCAAGCTTTTGCAGATTCACAACATCATTGACTTGACTGAACACAGTCATTGCATAACAACACAAAATTATCCAAAATGCTACTGAAGGGCAACCTTCAATGCTTGTATAAAGATAAGTTAATGCTCGTAATACAGGAGTCCTGGGATCTTTCCACTAAGATAACGGTGTAAAGTTCCCCTTTGTCAACTCTCAACAGGAAGAATTCTAACTGGTACTACACGTAGTATATATGAACAAAATTACCTATTTAATAGCTTTATCTGACATCCACCATTGGTCTTTCAGTACTCCAGCCCTGCGACTTTACATGTATGCTCATGTCTTTCATGTTTTATCTGATAGGTGATACAGGCATTTTGATAAGTGACATACTGTTTACTTTTTCAAGTAGAATATCTAGCATTACATGCCCATTGTTCGAACAATCAATCAATTAATCAATCATTCAATTAAATTTACTACGAACCAATGAAAAGTTTACATTAAAATAAGTGGTAGCACATTATTCAGATTATTATACGTTGTAGTCACCATCTGTCTTCTCATTGGCTAAAAGCCTACAGTTAATTCTGGGAAAAAGTGTAACCTACAGATTATTCACTAATCTGCTATCAGATTAGTGAATAATCTGTAGGTTGCACATGCAATGCATGATTTCCAAGACCAATGTCAAGTTCATGGACAGCAAAGTAAGAACATTCTTTGTCAAAAATAAATTGTGTTCGGTGCGATAATACGTTTGTCGTTATTTTCTTTAAAACAATGTTTAATAAAACAATTATTAGATTCGGTTTTTGTGACATCTGAGACAATCAAGGTCTTGGTTAGTGTTATCAGCCTCAGCCTTTGACTTAGGCTGATAACACTTACCTCGACCTTGATTATTCTGGATATCACAAAAACCTCATCCAATAATTGTTTATTATTGTTGGGAGGAGGGGGGAAGGGGACAAATTCCGAAAAAGAAGAAAATATTCGAGGAGGGAAAAATGTCAAACAGGCATGAAAAAAATTCCCTGCATGGTTTGAAGGAGGACAACTAATAGTACGCAGTTAAAACAAATTATGAGTAGCTCCTCTTTCACTTAGTCCCTTGTGTGTAATACAATAGAAAACGCCAAGGAATAAATGGCTGCGTGAAATCCTAGGGGCAAAAACTGTAAGAAAGGAGGGACTACCAACAAAGCCAGAGAGTTTAAATTATGCGTTGTTCTCTTTATGCACAAATATGCATGATTGGCTCATGCTAGGAGTGTTGACAATGTGTCGACAATCTCACCTTCTGAAAATACAGTAGAAAGCATTGAAACAGGGGCAAATCAAAGCATTGAAATTGTGTTTCACAGACCGTGAAGTTGTTGTGATTCTGTCAACAGGCTTTGGAAAGAGTTAAATTTGTCAAGAGGTTTGTTTGGCAAAGCTATCTGTCTCCAACCTAAATGCAAGTATGTAAGAACAAGTCAGTAAATTGACTGACAGAGCAAGGAGTGACAGAGAATGATGCAGAATGCATGATAGGGTTGATTTCTCTGCCTTTGTCAGTACTCACTCCTTTCGCAGTGAAACTTCTCAAGACTTCACGCCCCCGGGATTTTGCCCTGCCATTCTTTCCTGACTACTCATGGTCTACATGTAGTTAAAATTCATGTACATGTATTCTCCACATCAATGATCTACTGTGAAGGCCAATCCCAAATTATACTTTTAAACCAGGGGCTCTTTGCTTATGTTACATGCATAAGCAATTTCCAATCACTTTCTACTACCAATAAGAACCGAATTAAAAATATTAATAATTTCCAGGGCTAAGACAGATAATCAGAAAGCAAAACTGACTGTCAAAACACAGCAGTGTGGATCACCACTGCATACTCCACATTGTAAGCTCCTGTTACATCTTTACAAATTTGACTTGTGAAAAATGCAGCTTAGAAGCTTGCACTCCCTGGGAGGGGGGTACTTTATTCTATGAGGTATTAGGTATGTACAGCCCCAAAGGCTATGGTGTTTTAGCCATTTTGGTCTGAAAAAGGGTATCGATATTGGCCATTTTGGTCTCAAATAGGGTATGGTTTCTGCACTCTAGTCTTGCACTGGCTAGAAGAAGCTACTCTTTCATCAAAAAAGCCCTTCACAATGCATTCAACATTGGTCTGAAATAGGGACCTAATTAGGAGGCAGGTCTGAAACAGGTCTTAAACACAGGGCTTCTAATATTTTGCGTGGTCGCGGAGCTGCGAAATTCAAGTAAATCTGAGAAATCCTGCGAAATTCACAAAACACACAAAATCCCACAAAAATTTGCTAGAAATCTTACCAAAAACTTGTCGGTACAACATGTTTGAAAGTCATCATGGCTGTTGGGGCTGCTTAATTGCTGTAAACTTACTAAATTACCTTGAAACTTCGTCAGTGCAACGAGTAAACAACATCCCAAAACTACAAGGTGTTCTTAGATTAATGTTGCGAAAAACTGGGCAGCAGGCACGAGGTAAAAAGCTTTGTGATTGGCGCATTTCTAGAGTGCACTGTTCTTAAAAGAGCAAATGATGTTCTTTGTTAAAAATAACCTCGTGGTCAAACATAGAGCAAACCGCAACAGTACAGTATGAAAGTCCAAACGATGAACGAGAATCAAACATACCGTATTTCCTTTGTGTAGTAGGTTTTTGGTGTCTCTCGACTGGTTGCCTCAGATGTTGAAAAAAATCAGGAATCAACATAAACAGAACTTCGAAGATGAGGCAAACAACATGCAACTGGATAAAGAAGATGTTAAACGAAGCAACTTGATAGTAAATATCTGAGCGCAACTCTTGTGTTTTTAATATCCTGATTCTCTTATTAGTTTTTATTGTGTTCAATAAGCTTACTTGTAAAGTACGATTTCATATTGTGATACAAAGTCTGAGTAAATGCTCTAAGAGCGTCTAGTTTCATTAAAAACTTTCCTTAAATCAGCACAAAACCAATCGCTTTCCAGCGAAATTTGCCCAGAAAACTCCTGCAAAATCGGCCGTATTTTGCCAATCGTTTTTCAGGAAAATTGGTCTCAAAAATTCCTGTGAAACTCCTGCAAAATCGGCTGTTTTTTCTGTAAATTTGTCCCTGAAAATCCCGCGAAATTTGACTTTTTTTCCCACAACCTGCAAGAAGCCCTGTAACTAGGGTATTGAATTTTTCGTCAGGTCATAAATAGTTTCTAATAAAAAACAATTTCAAGAAACATGTAAGCAAGAACATTAATGCAAGTAAAGTAACATGACGAATGAATACATTAAAAATAATGGCAACACATATTTAAAGTACCTAGGATGTGAGAAAATCAATTAGCAAATGTGACATGAAAACATTCAGGTAATTAAGAGCCACTGCCTATAAATATTATGGAGAATCTGACAACAGGTTGGAAAATTCAGATTTTCTTTTATTGCATCAAAAAGACCCTTTTGGTGAACTATTTTAAGAAATATGCTGTCAAAGTTCTAGCAAGTTTAAATTTTTGTGAAATCTAGGAAAGTTCGAAATACCGATCAATCAACCAAGATGGCCGCTGGAATTTATGCAAAATTGCACATTTTCAACAGGCCAGTACAGAAAGAAGGGAACTTGCCTGGATTTCATATTCACACAGTTTGTAATTTATACTTTGATCATTCCTCTGAGCTAAAAGTCATCTTGAAGTAAATACGTTTTGTCTACTTCTTGGCTCTTTGAAAAATACAACTATCGCAATTTAATTTACACGTAAAATTTCAACTAATTTTAGAGGGTCATGACTCTTCTAGTATACAAATTTCTTGACAAATATAGGGTTCTAAAGAAAGAGCTATGCTATGGGTATATCATATCTAAATGGCTAGTTTGGCCCAAGAAAATTTAGTGCGCTAGATGAAAAACTATAAAGCGTATTTTGACCAATTGCGCCATTTTTGGACAAGCGAGCACGAACTTTGATTTTGCAGTCATCTTTATAAACATAATTCGACATGTTTCATAACACAAATTATTCGTAAACATCGTATTTTGTAAACTTAAGCAGTACTTTAAATAATACCTCAGAATAAGCCTTGGTTATAGTTGACACAGTCCTCTAGAAATCAGCCGCCCAAGCAGATGATTTTGGCAAAATGTTGGCCTTCAAGGTGGAACAGTGGTCCTGTATTCAAAACTTGAGCACCTTTGGCAAATAAATGGACATCGCTACAGTGTACTTCTTCATTGGTTATCTCTTGTTATTAGTTCTCTCTTCTTACTTTAAGAAAGGGGAACCAGTCTCGAGTGCAACGATTAATAGAACATTTGCTTGGAACGAAACGCAAGTGTACATGTAACGTTCAGTGTGACGTTTGTGTACACAACATTGTTCTCTTTGTCACAGTGTCACGCTTTCACCATGACAACATATCTAACACGCTGGCTGACCAGTCACAGTTTTAAACCGCTGCATTTGATCTTCTTTCTTTACATTGTTTTAGAAAAAGATACATATGGAAAATGGCCAAAAAAGAAGTGGCGAACGTTTCTCGGTCTTATCTGTCAAATTTATGGTGATTTTGGATTGTGAAACTCCTGTTCATGACTTTATGGTCTGTCACAATAGTCAAGTTGTCTTCTCACGTAGATTCCTGCAGGACTTTGCCATCTATCACTAAGGCCATTTCCAAGGTACGTATGATTTAAATTATTGCTTACATGTGTGATCAACAATGTCAAAGAATAATTTGTATCATGAAACATGTTGAATTATGTTCGTAAAAATGGTTGCAAAATCGAAGTTTTCAGCTCAGTCCTCTAAAAGTAGCGCAATTGGTCAAAATACCGTTATAATTTTTCGTCTAGCACGCTTAATTTCCACAGATCAAACTAGCCATCAAATATGGTATACCCGTAGCATAGCTCTTTCTTCAGAACCTTTTATTTGTCAGGAAATTTGTATACTAGAGGAGTTATGACCCTCTAAAATAAGTTGAAATTTTACACGTAAATTAAATTGCGATAGTTGTATTTTTCAATCAGCCAAGAAGTAGACATCGACCATCTTCGTTGATTGAGCGGTATTTCGAACTTTCCTAGATTTCACAAAAATTTGAACTCACTGCAACTTTGAAAGTATATTTCTTAAAGCTCAAATGAACCAAAATTCAGACATCTTTTCTTCAACCTTTTTATAGCAATGAAATGTTAAAAAAAAAAATGTAAAAGGAAACGTATGGGAAATTTTTCTTTCTCAGCTGTGAAAAGGAGTAAAAAAGTTAAAAATACGAAGACAGCCAATGGTTTCACAAAAACATTTCCAAAATGACCGCGCACTTTAATGGAAGGAATGGAACTGAGACTCTGCTTTGTGACGTCATTGTTGTCTTGAACATTGATGCATTCCTGCTTCGGTGAGTCTTACATGGGGAAGGTTTTGGATCTAAATACAAATCTTATTTTACTTGGGAAAAGGCCGAGGAGTTTGCCCGCTGTTTGGCGGGCATTATTCGCTTGTTTTTCGTTGTTTTTTGTCCAATAGCTGGCTTACAATGTTCCATAGTGAAGTTAAAAATCGTCGGTACCGCGTCTTTCTTGACTACAAATTGATGAAGCTTGAAAGAGGTCTCAACAAACTCCTTACTACAAGATTTTGTTTGAAGCTATATTCGGTTAAGTGTTTTACACAAACATGCGAATGCTTTGACGGCATGAAGCATTTTCTTTTCATTTTTATACACCATTCTCTCTTAAGTTTTGGGTCCTGGGGAAACTTGAAAGTGCTAACTTTTGATTTTGAGTAGTTTTCCTCTGAAGTTCACTGTGAAGTTGAAACCAAAACAGTTTTAAATTTCCAGCATTTCTTGAGCTCACCAACAGTGACGTCACATGTTTTATTTTCGACAATTATCCGACAATTTCCCTGGCTGCTCTACGATTATGAAGGATAAAAACCAGTGATTTTAACATTCCAATATCTCTGCAATACTTTGTCCAATTCATTTGAAACTTCAGAATATGTTTATTTTATACTTAATGAACACATTGAACTCAAATAAAAAAATGTCTAAATTTTGGTTCATTTGACCTTTAAAATAGTTCAACAAAAGGGTCTTTTCGATGCAATAAAAGAAAATCCAAATTTTCCGACCTGTCGTTGGATTCTCCATATTTTCAGGCAGTGGCTCTTAAAACTTTGGCCCAAATGGAATCCACTTGTGTGTTTAGTTTTGGTCTTTTGTTCTACATCAAAAACATTTCAAAGATCAAACATTCGAGTTTGCCACAGCATTTCTTTATGACTTTAAAGTTCTTAATTAAGTTGACAGGTGTTAAGCCATGCTCATCCCTGAAATGTTTTCCGATCATGGAATGTTTATGTTCTTCTACGTGTTGATTGAGGTGGCAGCAAGTGTACCCAATATAGTTTGCATCACACAAAATCACATGTGAATTCATATACCACACTTTGCTGGTTTATCAGGAGAGTCATAAATAGTGTAGGGAAAATCACAGATTTTTGTTTAAACAGGGTAAGGGTTTTGGAAAGTGGGCCACACACCAACATCCAATTGTTGTGGGAGTACACCTCCCCCCCTCCCTATAGTTTGCATCACACAAATCACATGTGAATTTGTATACAATGTACCACACTTTGCTGGTTTATCAGGGGAATCATAACTAGTGTAGGAAAAATCGCAGATTTTGGTTTAAACAGGTTAAGGGCTTTGGGAAGCAGGCCGCACACCACCACCCAATTGTTGTGGGAATACACCCCCCACCCCCCCGGCCTGCTTGCCTAAAAGTGCGAAGAATTATGCTTAATGTGGCTTTTTGTGAAACACTAGTTGCAAGAAGGAAAGCTAGTCCCCATCAAATTAAGTTAACAATTGTGGAATAATGTAATCATGACCTGAAACCATCTAAGATGTTAACATCCTTCTCGAGCGAACTGTAAACTGTTGAACTACCTCCAAACATCCCGGCCTAAGATTTAATGTCGTCGAGGTTTTAATTGACGAGATATCGACTTATTTTGGCTAAATAAACTTCACAAAGCATGTGAAATCTTTTTAACCATTTACATACTCAAACGTAGCAATAAAACATGAAGGTTTTCATTGTACATACCGAAGATGATCTGAGACAATATCTTGATGTCGCTTGTTGTTTCTGGCTCTTCAATCAGCGAATTTCCCTCCAGTTTGTTCCACCAGCAAACGTTTGTGTCTTGGACACGTTTGGAAGTATTTCTTGTAAAGTAAACAAGGCATTAGGCAAAGTTTGAAGGAAAAACCCGTACTTCCAAGAACCTCGTGCAGTAAAGGAAGTGCGATAAATTTGCAATGCAAATTCAAGTTGAGTCCCAGGGCCGCCTGCCTTTCTTAGCCGGCGGGTCCTTGGCGCTAGGAAAAGGGATAGTAGAGGAGTAGAAGACGCTGGCTTCATTCTCAGAAATATCCACGTGATGATCTCTACCGAACTAAACCTTTGCGTTAGTTCTTTTATGTTTTAACAATGGGAGCATGTATATGTTTAATTTTATTATGGAAGAATTTACCAAAAATTTCTCCTCGTAAGCCAGTTTTAACTTCTTGAAGGGCTGTAGACAGTTGCGGAAATCAAACAGTTGTTGTCAGTGACCAGCAAGTGGATATTTTCGGGAAGGAGACCAGCATTGCATTAGTAACTATAGCTAGTTATTACTGAGAGTCTACCTTCATTTCCTCGTACCAAGTCCCCGCCGGCTGATAGGAAAAGAAAAGGGTATGATTTGAACCTGGAATTTCTATATGACTTATTTGAGAAACCTTTAACAGAGAATTTTAGGGAAATGAATTAACAAACAACCGATGAATCAAACAAACAAGTAGACAAAGACACAATCGGGCGAACAAAGGACCGAATGTAGGAAAGGATTCTTTTCTGCCGTTTTAAGTGAAATTACAAAAACGTTGCGAGACAATTTCTTGATCCAGTTTCAGCCGTTTTATTTCTCTCTTAAATAAATAAACAATAAACAATCTATAACAACACTACTTCTGAAATAGATCAGTTACAAATTACGGTCCAGGCCAGCTTTTTTTTCTTTTGTTTCAATTAACAGTCACGGGCACCTATCACGACATTCTAATCCACACGGCATTCAAAAAATGATACCAATAAAAGCTATTAAAAGAAATGAAGGCAAAAGGAAAGTGAAAACGCGAGACATAGTCAATATCTTTGGAAATCGAGGTGCGATGTCCTTTGTTCTTGACCTTTATTGCATCCTGTTCTTGTCCGCTGTCAGCCATCTCAATGTCATTCCTGTTCTGAGGCAGAAATGGCATAGCGCCATTACTATCCCGAGAAATTACTGGTTCACTGTTACTTAAAATCTTCTCCAAGTTAAAGTAGTCTTCGTTTCTTTATGAACTTCACTTCATATTCGTCTTCCTTCATGAGTAAACAAAACATAACAAAAACTGGTAGCCACGAACAGACGAATTAAACTATGGGTGAAAATCGTCCCAACGCCTTAAGTTTTGGAACGTTGAAGTGGACCCTGGATGCAGCGAACTGGGAATCGATCTTTAAACTTTGTCTCATGTCGTGTTCTTGGGAAAGACTAATATTTCTTAGGGGGATAGAATAAGGGATATAACATGGGGAAGTTAGGAAAAATAGTTAAACAAATGCGGAGGGGAGAAAACAGGAGTGCCAGGGGCTAGAAATAGGGATATAAATAGTCAAAAAAAGGTGGAAGAAAAGCAACACAGGGAGTGCCGGGGGCTAGAAAGAGGGATATAACAGGGGGAAGTCAGCAATAGTCAAAAAAGGCGGAGGGAAAGAACACACGGAGTGCCAGGGGGCTAGAAATAGGGTTATAACAAGAAGAAGTTGGAAAAGATTCAGAGGCTTGAGGTTAGAATGGTGAGTGCTAGGAGAGATAGAAAGTGGAAGGGAATAAGAGGGGAGGAAAAGTGATAAAAGGGATCCCTCGAAGGGGAGAGTGCGTCGGGGAAGGGACTTGAACAGCGGAATAAACCAAAGGATGCAAAAGAAGGGGGTTTTGCAGTAGAGAGCACTCATTTTCATTATTTTTGGTGAAAAAAGAACTTGAAAAAAGAGACACTACCGGGCAACATACGATATCTACTTTTCTAACTGCATAAAAAGGAGATAAATCATTCGGAAATATTCCTCACTGTGTGTTGCTCGCAAGTTCGTTGCTGTTAAGAAATGGGCGTATTTCATTGTAGTAAACTGATAAAAAGTAAACTCTTGCCAATGTTAAACTGATAAACGAACTAACATATACGCTTAATTTAAGCTTATAATTATGAATTATTATGATCATTTTGAGGAAAGATAAGTATGTAAAAATCGATTTTGAAAAATAAAATAGACGAAAATAAACTACTATCAGCTTGAAATCCGGGCGGGAGGTCCGTATAGGAAAAAAATGTGCCCGAGGTCTTGGGCCGAAGGCCTCGGACCGTACTCAAGATCAAGGGCACAGTCTTTTTTTACCATACGGTCCGACCTAGCTCGGTAAATAACTTTTTTTTTTTTTCTTTTCGGATGTCTTCTTTTTAAAGTGGGAAAAGAGATAGGAATAAAGGTCATGACGTAACTTCCCGCGTTCTTACAAAGCACTAAAGACCAAAGAAAATACTGTGAGCATGATTTTCAGCGGTTGGCTTTTATTTTGACGCGTGAGTACACACTTATATAGACGTAAAAAGAAAAAAGCCATGCAAAGTCATTGAAATGAAAATCAGCTGTGAAACGTCAAAAGTGTACCACGCTGCAACTGAATAAAAAACGCATGCTCCGATATGTCTAAAAATATCGATCGAATGTTTAATTAATATGGATGAAAGATGCGAACACGGCGAAGTTTACCGTTCCTAACGACTTAAAACTTGTTTTACTAGCGATGAATTTGACAAATCTGTCATGAGGAAACTTCGACTTCATCTGAATCAGAGTCATCTGAAATAATAACGTGGCGTTTTCGCGGCCTTGACTGATGGATGTTTTCGCCACTGCTGGAAGGTGCACGCGCTGTTGAATGAAAAATTAAACGTGCATCCCTCGATGCTTCTGAAGTTGGAACCAGTGAAAAGGCCAGAGAAGCCTTGCTCTTCGCCCAAAGAAGCTTGCTTTTTTTTTTCTTGCTGTTTGAATGGCTCTAGTTTCCAGGCTATGACTCCTGGTTTAACTGGTGCAGCGTTTGAGAAGATGGGAAATTTCTTCTTGCCGCTGCTCAAAACCAAAGACATCTTGCGCTGGTGTTCGTCTGAAGCTCTCTTATAAGAACCTAAGCTTTTTAGATTCTTATGCCCACTCAGTTGTACTCCATAATTAACAGGAACCTCAGCATCCATCAGCCTTGAAATGCACGTTTTCCTCACAGAATGGTTGGTTACATTTCCTGGCAGCCCTGCATTTTTAGCCGCTTTCGTCAAAAATTCTCCGATCTTGTTTTTTCCAAGAGCTGCTCGATTGTACCAGACCGGATTGTCAGGCGCTCTGCTATGGTTTACTGCCAGGAAAAAAGGGGCGTCGGGTTTCTTCATTTCGTCAGGACGATGGCTTTCAAACTTAAGATATAGACGAACTGGACAGCGCTCGGTGTTGGTGGCGAGGGCTTTTGGACTAAAAGCCCTGCAGTGGCCGTCTCCTTGTCTTGTTTTTGATCCTCGTTCGGCTTTCCACACGAGGACCTGCTTTCCACTAACTGGATCATCTTCTACTGCTATATCACCCTACTGCAGTCTTCGACACTCGTCTCGAGCTCTAAACCCGAAATGCAAAGACAGCACCCACCATACCGTGCGCTGGAGAACTTCGGGGTCGTCTTCCCTAAACTGACTGGTTTGAAACAACAAGTCCTCTTCATCTTCTGTTAGCTCGCGGGCAGCCTGTGGACGATTTCCTTTGGCGTTGTTAACTACCAAGTCTCGTTTGCGAGCTGAGAGGACCTCCCTCGATTTGGCGAACTCTTGGACTTTCATAATATTTGTGCTACAGTTGTCGTTCAGGTAGCGTTAAATACTTCTCTGGAAAGAGGCAAGCGAACCTGGCTCGTAGACTGCGCCATCCTTTTTACGGACGTCCATGAAAAACCTGCACAGAAGTATGTTTAGCTCTTCGGGAGGAATATTTTCCAAGGCTCTCGTCTCTCCAACTGTACGTGGAACAGAATCTTCGCCAAATGTTCAGATCGTAAGTTGTCTTTTTCTTAGTGTTATCAGGGCGAAGTGAGTAGATAAAATCTTGAATGTTGTTCAAGTGCCTCTCTTGTTCAACTTCGTCACGATTTATAGGCGTCATTTGGTTCAAAGTTTCTTCCTCCGGATAGTAAAATTCGCTTTGACTGTGTCCGCTCTCATCCGAATCCATTTTCCTTAACAGTTATATTTCGGTAGCATATTTTTCACCACGCGGGGATGTTTACAACTAACTTTGTAACATTAATATTTTTAAGGAGCCGCCTTGATCGCTACAGCGGGGAAAAAATCCGGCCCGTAGGCCGTATCGTAAAAAGCTGGACCGGTCACGTGCGAGTGCTTAGCCAATCAAATTCGAGGATTTAGGATTCCGGCCCGCTCAGATGCTTGAAAAAATAAATAAATAAATAAATAAATAAGTAAAATAAAAATGAAAATACGCCACTCGAGTCCCGGATGTAGTTTCGTATGAATGTTACGAGTGGTGGATTTTCCAGTAAAACACTCGTGTCTGTATAATAAATAGATTTACCCAGGCCTAAAAGCGGAGCTCCTGATTGCAATTATAGACCAGTTTCGATATATTAAAATTCAGCCTAAAACATTAGACCTCAGTACGAGGCTCTGGGGAAAAACTATAGAGTTTCTGGGGTTTATTTCCCAAAGCCTCGTGTTGCATGAGGTCTATTGTGTTAGCTATTGTGTTAATGGAAAAAGAAGATTTGTTTTTCTTGTGAGCATGTAACTGTTCAGCGTGTGGTTTCACTATCTTTTCCAGTTAAATTTTGACAAACTATACCCAATAAGCGTACCCAATTTTTTCACGATTATAGAAATTACGTTCGCAAAATATCAGGGACTTTCTAAGAGACAATTGTTCAAGGAGTATGTCGAAGGAAAAGTCAACAACGTACCAGGGGTTAATTTGGGCCGAAATTTTGCCTTTGCATGTACTCCCTCCCTCTCCAAAAGAGTACTAACCTGGCCTGTGAGCGATCCAGTCAAAAAGCCCGGCCAGTACCTGGTCAGCTATCAACTTCAAAAAAGCACGTGGCTTTGATGAGCTCTTAACCTAAACTTGAGCCCGCGATATGGTCACGTAATACTGGTCAACGAATGTCTT